TAACTGTTCCTTGCTCTGTGTATGTAATCACGCATATGAATCTGAGTCAGACTTTCAGATATTGTGTAAGACATGTTTCTGGCCTTCCCCTGAAGAGGAAATCCAGTATCTTTTAAATTTTAGAATAAAGTGGCATTACTAAATGGAAAGTATTTTTCCATGTGATTGCCAGTACACAGTGCAAAGTTCAGTAGACCTTAATATAAATCAGCTGACACGGGATCATTAATACTATATAGTGCTCTGAAATTATGCCTGTTGACATCTTGAAAAGAATATTTTACTACTTTTCCGGAAGCTAACCAAACAAAAATTACTGTACAACTTTTTTCACTTGTTTCATGTTTTTTGTTTGTTTTCTTTAATCTTTTCCAAGAAAGTCTTTTGCTTTATTACTTTGGGATTCTTGGGAGGAATACTTTATACCTATTTACAGATTTTTGTAAACATTAGAAAAAATGTATATAAGAAACAAGAGCTTGTGGCTGACGTGATAGGCATTTAATAAATGGTTTTTAGTAGTAGTAGTAGCAGTAGTAGTAAAAGATACCTCCAGATTGAGAGAAATTTAAGAATTATGCAATTTCATCTCTTCAGCAAAATTAGTATACATAATAAGGATTATTAAAATTTTGCTAAAAGTATATTAAATGCAGCAGAATTTGTAATTGAGAAAACTGGACACAACCGAAATGTTCATCATATAAATATTCCATGAAACAATGGGATATAAATATATATTTAGATGTGAACATGTTGCTGTTTAGCCCATAAGTGGTAAGTGACAGGTTCATTTATGGCCTGGTGGAGTTTAAACCTTACCTCTCTGAAGAATGGGATTTGTGGAGTTTTTGAGCTATGACCAAGTGAAGAATTCTGAGGATTTAAAATAGGATAGTTTTATTTTAAAGGCACTAGAATAATATGATGACATTTCCCCATTGTATACACTTAGATTATTTCTAGCTGATCATTTGAAATGTGAAAGTCCAGACCCGGTTTTCAGAATATCCATTTAATTTATTGTTCCTCTTGATTTGTAATTCTGAATTCTTATAATATGACAATGCAAACTGAATATATACACACACAAAAACACACACAAACTGGACTAGACATTCTGGCTTGTCCTCTTGTAGATAATTATTCAAAAATTTAGTAATTCAATTAATAAATGAGATTTTTGAGGGTTTTGGAATGTCCAAGCCTACTCTGGCAGGAGGGAGGCATGAAGTAAGGGGAAAATTAAGTATGAGTTTTAGAGGCTTTTATTAAAGTAGGTAAATGCTACCTATTTTCCCATTTTTATTGGGAAAATTTGAACATTTGATTATTGAAAACTGCCATCCATATTTATTGAGCACTACCTCAACCCTACAAAGCCAGTCTATTAGTAATTATCCTTATACTAGAGGCCCAGTGCATGAAAAGTCATGTACTGGAGCAGGGGGTCCCTCAGCCCAGCCTGCCCCCTGTCACAGTCCGGGAGCCCTTGGGGGCGGGAGGTGACCCAGCGATCAGGGGAAGGCAATGCCCCATCACACCTCTGCTGCTGTCACTACCAGCAGCAAAAGCCTTTGCTGGCCCTGGTTATCTGAGCCTTGGGTGGCCCTGGGTGGTTGGGAAGCCGACATCTGAGGCTTGCCTGTACCTCGAGCCGGCCTTGGGCAGCTGAGGGGCTTAAGGGACTGGGGGACTCTGGAGGTCTTGCTGCACACCTGCCATCCCTGCCATCTCAGGGGACTGAGTGCCACCATCTTGTGACTGTGGACACCGTCATATTTGAGGGTGGGGTAGTCAGTATATTCCCTCCTTATTGGTCTATGGCTGTCACCATCTTTGTGACGTGTGAGGGGCAATTAGTATATTTCCTCTTTATTAGATAAGATTACAGGTGAAGGAACTAAAGTTCAAAGAAGATCACACAACTAAGATGTAACAGAATTTAAATAGATATTTAGATGCTCCCTATTCTCAGTAAATCTCAGTCTAATAAGGGATATGAATGCACAGTAAAGTATTAGGCATAATATAAGTGTCATATAAGAAGTTAAAAAAGTGCTATCAAGATTCAGAGGAGGGAAAACACATCTAGTTAGAAAACTTGGTAAGATTTTATTTTACACCCACTATATTATGATTACTGTGCTAGACATTGAGAGTAAAAAAACAAATAATAAACATTCCTACCCTGAAGGAGTCTATAGTCTAGCACAGTGGTCGGCAAACCGCGGCTCGCAAGTCACATCCTACTCTTTGGCTCCTTGAATGTGGCTCTTCCACAAAATACCATGGCCTGGATGAATCCGTTTTGAAGAAGTGGGATTAGAAGAAGTTTTAAGTTTAAAAAATTTGAATCTCAAAAGAAATTTCTATCATTGTACTGTTGATATTTGGCTCTGTTAACTAATGAGTTTGCCGACCACTGGTCTAGTCTATTTGAGACACATAAGGGAGACATGGAGCAATACAGGGGTATTTTAAAAAGCACCAAGAGCTGTCACATAAATCTTTGTGGCCAATCTGTACCTTGTTTGGAATCCATTTTACTTTGGAAACCTAGACTTGAGTCTGGCTAAGAGCCTTGAGACTAGTTTTCTATAAATAGACATGGCTGGAATTAAGAAAGCTTCCTCTGTAGGAATATCAGATTTCACTCTCAGAACTCCTATCTTGCTTTCCTCGCTTGAATATTGTCTTAAGAGAGTGCTCCAAACACGAAAATTAAATGAGATTGATTTTATTTTATTCAGAGGAAAAGGGTCAGAGTGAGTTGATTTAGAACATGGGCTTTGGAGTAAGATGACCTGTATTTGAGTCCCAGGTCCTCCCTTGTGTGACCTTGGGAAAGTCATGTTGCTACAGTCACCTCATTTGTAAATGGAATTAAAAATACTTTACAAGGCTTTGTAAGCAGTAAATGAGATATACATCTAAAGTAATTTGATACAGTGTACCTTGTGTATAATGAACATTTAAAAATGGCTAGGGCGATTTCGTAGTAACACCTGATAGAGGCTGCTCCACACACCTCTCTCAGGTGTTATTACTAGTATGTGGCCTTGCTGGGTATATTCTCTCAGTGAATATGTGTATATCCCCCAAAATTACAACTTAGAAACCTACAGGATTAACTTAGATCACTTTTATTTAAGCATGCATAAGGATGTTTACCTCACACTAGGACAAGGATTGGAAGACTGCAAAGTCTTCGATGACCAAGACACTCTGTGCATTGGAGCACTTGACCTGGATGCAACTTGTGTCTCTCTTTTTTTCCCATGTGCCCAGCCTTAACTTTGTTTATTTTTTGGCCTCCTATTTATTCAGTTCTGTCTCTGCCGTCTTTGCCCTGAGCAGTGACTGGCACACCTGTTCCCCTCTTGCCAGTCTCCCTCCAACGATTAAAACAATTTTTGGAAATAGAGCAGGAGCCTTCCTTAGTTGATAAGAAAATTGATAGTATCCCTTGGCCTACTCATTCCCTCTGTTCCTCACAAACAAAGAAAAACAAACTAAAAACAAGGAAGACACTAGATACAGGAAGTAAAGGGAATTTCCCAGGATGTCAGTGAAAGGCAATCACAGTGACAGCTGGGCACACCAACTGAGATAATGAGTACATACTTGGCTCCAAGAGAGACTTTTTCTCAAAAAATGAAATTGATAGCTCCTACTCTTTTTCTGAGTTTTTTTTTTTCTTCCAGTGGGGCATGAATTATCTTTATAATCAGACAAAAAGCTATTTCATGTTACAGAAAAGAAAAACAACTAGAATGTGAGAGGAAAACTATGTACAAAGATGTTCATTACAGCATTTTTATAATCCTAAGAAATCAGAAACAACTGTCTAATCAGGAAATGTTTAATAAATTACGGTTCATATACCTAGTGAAATATTTTACAGGTGTCCTTTTTAAAAAGAGGATCGAAATGAGTTTATCCTCATATATAGTTTTCACCTTTAATTATGCTATGCCGTCAGCTTAAATGTCATTTTCCTTCTTTCTACTTTCTTTTTATTGGTATTTCCCTGAATCATTACATTCCACAAGAAGGCCCCGGGACAACCATCATCATCACTTACCTACCCAACCCCACTCCACTCTCACCTCCATCCCAACTGTGTGTTACCCGTAATCTGTGTTTTCAAAATACTTTGAGCAGATACTCTATATTTGCACTTACCATCTAGTATTATAATCTAACTAGTAGCCCATTGCGCAATATTATGCTTAGTAGACCACCCGACGCTTCTGCGGGAGATAGGAGGGACCCATGTTCATTCCGTGAGAGGCGGGAGGGACTCATGCTGCTTCTGCGGGAGGCGCTTTCCCCTCCCCGTCCTCCCCCCCCCCCCCCCCCCCCGTCTCTTTTCTGGGCTAGTGCTTGACATGGAGGCTGCAGGCCAGCCCCCCTGTCCTTGTCCATGTCGGCTCCGGTTCTGGGGAGCTGGCCTGAGCCAAGCACGGCAATAAAGCAAGCATTTCACCAGGCTGCTCACACTACCCACTCTCAGTGGCCACCACCCTGGGACTGGGGGATTCTGGTGGGGCTGAGAGGACTGGGCGCTGCCATCTTGTGACTATGGGTGCCACTATCTTTGTGATGGAGTAATGGTTAACTTGCATATTACCCTTTTATTAGATAGGCTTATTAAGTAGACTTATCTTTCCCACTAAACTTTCACCTTGATATCTAGGATTGGTCTTATTCACTTTTATGACTGCAGTGCAAAGTATAGGGCATAATCAATATTAGATATTGGATAAAGAAAATAATAATGTGAAAAATATTTGTGTTATCATGGTAAGTATATTAGGGAAAGTAGCATCTACACTTCAGGTTGTTATGAGAATTAGATGGGAAAATTTATGTAAAACATCTAGTATAATGCCAAGCATAGGTGCTCAGTGAATAAGAATGAAGATGGTGGCAATTGTGCTGGTAACAATTATAAGATCTGTGTTTTGTTTGTTTGTTTGTTTGTTTTTTCACAGAGAGCACCGAAACAGACCTTGGAATTTGTGGATCAATTTTGGTGTATGTCTCATTCTTCTTAACAATTATAACTTTCCCATTATCAATATGGATGTGCATGAAGGTAAAGAATATTTCATCTATATCTGTAAAGGTGTCAACTTCTAATAACATATGCCCACTTTGTGTGTACATGTGTATAAAAGAAATAGAGACCATACTGGCTTGTAATTTTTTTTTCCTTCATCTCTCTTTTGGAAAATTCACTCTGGTTACCTGTTATAATAGAATCTTAACGGTTCTTTTCAGCCCTAGTTTAGTCAGTCTCTCCCGAGGGTTTAAGATCACCATTGGAAGTTGGAGTCAGGGGTATGGGGTGGTCCTATGAGAATTTCTCCAGTCAGGATGCTGAGGTTTGACTGCTGGCTCCATTGTTTTTGGTGTGATCTTTACCATGTTTCCTCACCTGTAAAATGGGGAGAAATAACAACACCCACTCCATAGAGCCATTGTGAAGATGAATTAATGTAATTAAATGTGGCTGGCACATGATAAGTGCTTCCCAAATGTTGCTTATTTTTTTCTATAAAGTTATTAATACTTTGATAAATAACTATAATTTACATATTCCTAAAATGATAAAAATGCTCTAAGAATTTTTAGGTAAGTTTATTATCATAATTTAAGAAATCAGGAGACAAACTTTGAGAAGTTCAGCTTTTTTTAATATTAACAATGCAGGAGATAATATTCAATAATGTTAACAGCTGAGGAGTGAGGTTATAGATAGATTTGCTTCTCTATACTATTCTATACTTTCCAGATTTTATACAATGAATATCTTTTGCTTTTATAATTCGTAAATAATAAACAAATAAGTAAATGTCATACTTAGTGGAGCTACTAAACATTGGACATGTTTGTAGATATAATCTGGATTATAGAGAAGAAAACAAAATAGAGGCAAGTGACCTGTTTAAAGCAGAAATATATATATTTTAAAAGCTATGCATATAAATATTTGTACTCTTCATACTAAATTATTATTTATTTGTGTTTTTAATCTAGATCATAAAAGAATATGAAAGAGCCATCATCTTTAGATTGGGTCGCATTTTACAAGGAGGAGCCAAAGGACCTGGTCAGTACTCAGATTCTAGATTTGAAGACTGACATTCTTCCTTTTATTGATGTGATTTCCCTTATAGTTTCTCTTCTCTGTTGACTTAGAAAAGAGTTCTTCATATAACAAAAGCTGTATAACAAATAGCAGGGATGCTAGACAGTCTTGTTGTAACCACCCTTTCCTTCCTCTCCATTCCCCTTCCCATTTGAGATAAGTGTTGGAGCATGAGAATCCCTACTAAAATAAAGGCTTTGAGTCATTGTTTTTGGCAAACTTCGATTAAGTTCCTACCATGTTTCAAGCTCTGGGAATTCATGGGAGACTATAACACAGTTCCTACCCTCAAGGATCTTACTGTCTAGTGGTAGGATACCAAGGGGACAGATAGTTACAGTCCCCTGCAATAAGTATTATGATCCAGGTAGTTGTGGAAACCCAAAGAAGAGTGAAAGGCCAGAACTAGTAGGATGAGACAAGGCTTCCTGGAGGTGACAACTTGGCTGAGTCTTGAGGTATTAGGGGAAGTGTTCCTTCCAGAAAAGGTATTAAGGGAGGTGTTCCTCCCCGAAACAGCAACATGTTCAAAGCCATATGGAGGAGAGTATTTCAGGTTCCAGGCACTGCAGGTCGCCCAGCCAGAGAGGAGAGCATGAGGAGAGGGGAATGAATGAGAGGTAAGGGGAGCAGGTCATGCAGAACCTTGTGTGACTCATTCAGGAGTTTGTATTTAAGGAAAGATTGCTCTGCTTGCAGCTTAGAAAATAGATGGGATGAGAAGCACTGGAAGATGATTTGGAATCGATTGCATTGGTCTAGTGAAAACAGTGACAGTCACAGTGCAGTAAGGAAATGAAATCCATTGCCTTGGTGGGGACAGTTAGGATTGGGAACTCAGCAAGAGGAATAAAGAATAACACTCCTAGCTTCTGGCTCATTCACTGAGATGAACTGCTGATTCACAGTCCGTTAGGTTGCTGCTATTAGAATTGAAGCATGAAGTAAACCGTTTAGATGCTGGTATCTCTGTAATATTCTACGATCTTTGTTGCAGGTTTGTTTTTTGTCCTGCCATGTACTGACAGCTTTGTCAAAGTGGACATGAGAATTATTTCATTTGATATTCCTCCTCAAGAGGTAAGGTGGACTTTTGCTATGAGTAACTGAAATACCACGTGTAAAAACATTGACAATGAGAGGCAGCAGGTTGACAATGAGAGAAAGCGTTGACAATGAGAGGCAGCAGGTGCAGTGGTGTAGTGGTTAGAGCATAGGTTTAGAGTCTGTCTGCCTTCGACCTTTTCTAGCTGTGTGACCTTGGGAAGGTTTTTAATTTCTCTGTATCTCAGTTTCCTAATCTATAAAATATAGCTTATAATAACAGGACCTATTTTATAGGATTTTTCTGACAACTAAAGGAGTTATGTGTAAAGCGCTTCGAATAGTGGCTGACAGTTAAGTGCTATATAAGTGCTTATTATTTATAAAATGCAGTGTAATGTGAATGTAAGTATAATGGTAACATCATCATTGTTATTTTTACCAACATATTTCTCCTCTCTGTGTTTTCTGGCAGAAAATCCTGTGTAGTATACTATTCTCCTTCCTCAAGTTCTTGATTTTATTCTAGATAACTTGGTTAAAAGCCAAAGAATTAGAAACTGCTCATTTGGCATCTTCAATAAAGCATATAATGTTTTAGATTAGTGATTATTTCATGCTTTTTCAAACTACTTCACCAATATTATCACAGCTGAAACAGCAGAATCCCTAGAAAGTATCTATCGATAGTTGCTGTGAGACAAAGGAATTCCTCCAGACTACAGTGGCAGAAGCAGGAAGGAAATCCAGCTCTTTGTATTCCCTGTCTGGTGCTTTGTGTATAACTCTGTGCTAAATGCATTCTGCATTAGCCCCCTCGTGGCCCTTAAGGGAGAGGTGGCCATGCTGATACTTATGTCTAAGGAGGATAATAACTATTGCAGACAGAAAGCCTAATGTCACGATGAAGTGAGGCACAGAAAAATACTGTATTTCCTGGCCAAAAGCAAGGTATCCAGCAGGGTGGTGGAGCCTGGCCATGCTGCCTTGTCTTGTCACGAAGTCCAGAAACCAGCTTCAGAACTTCCTTGCTCCTACAGAGCCAACTAGTCAGTGAGGTCAGACCTTATAATCCACCCAGAGTTGTGACATCAGAAATCATTTTCCCCCCAAGAACAAGACTGAGAGCATTGCTGTGTTCTCTGCATGTTTTCCCATCTTTCGGGAAAGACTGATTCTCAGAAGGAACCCCCTTTCAGGGTAGCTGTTTCCTCTATAAACATTGTAGGCATCTGGCAGGCTCGCTCTCTGCTTTCCTGCCAGCTGGTGTACACAGAGCGGATGGGAACTTGGCAGGCAGGCCTTTTTCCGATCCCCTGTGAACTTGCTGTGAGGGAGGGAAACACGCGGCGATGGTAAACAGTAGGCAGAGAGGCGGCAGCGTTAGAAACCTCCGGTTGTGGCAAAGTCACTGTCAAGAATTTGTTCATAAATGATACACATTTCCCCATCGCATCATGGGAAAGAATTAACTTTCACAGAAGATGGTGATATGCATACCATTTGTAAATACATTTATTTATAAATCTCCCACTTCTCTTTCAAGTTTGAAGTATATTTAGATTTCTAAAAAAAGGGTTACTACTTTGATCTGGCAGGATTAAACTGCCATGTAATATAATTGTCATTACTATTTTCTATTTCCATAGCTCTTAACACTTTCAAGAGGGCTTCCTTCACAAACATGTTTTTGTTTGATCTTGAAAGAAATTTATGTAGAATTTTGGGCAGTATTATTACCCCCATCTCACAAAAGAGGAATCTGTAAGTCAAACAGGTTTCTTTTGTTTGTTTTTTTTTAATGTATTTTTACTGATTTCAGAGAAGAAGGGAGGGGGAAAGAAAGATAGAAACATTAATGATGAGAAAAAAATCATTGATCGGCTGTCTCCTGCACGCCCCCCTCCCCTCAGATCCCCCCGGAGATCAAGCCTGCATGTTCCCTGACCGGGAATTGAACCGTGACCTCCTGGTTCATAGGTCAATGCTCAACCACTGAGCCAAGTCGGCTGGGGGCTGTAAGTCAAACCATTTAAAAGCTAGAGATCGCCAAGAGGTACAGGCAGAGTTGAAACTCCTGTGTCCTAACTCTCACTCCCGTACTCTTCATCAATCACTGTATTCCTAGGACCACGTTTCAATTTAATTCATCTCTTGTTTATTGACGACTTGCTATGTATCAAGCGTTCTGCTGGTGATAGAGATGCAGAGACAAACTGCCCTCAAGAAACTCATAGTCTAATAGAGAAGTGGTTTCACTGCAGTGAGATGCAAAAGGAAGGGCATACTCTTCCAAGTGGGTCAGGGAAGTTGCACAGAGAAAAGAACATTGGAGCCGTGTCTTGAATGATGAGTAAGAAGGTGCCAGTCTGATGTTATGAGGGAGAGAGGACAGGACATCCAGGCAGAGGGGACATGGAACATGCTGCACCTTGTCTAGTATGGTGTGGGCAGGAGGGAGTGGGATAGAGTGAGGCCAGAGAGCCAAATGCCAAAGGGCCAGGCATCAACAGACTTTGGACTTTGCCCTGTAGAGGATAGGAAACATTGGCACATTATGTCCAATGAAGCATTTTTATGTAGCATGCCGCAGAGATATTTTCACCCTGGCTCGCCCTGTAAAAACATTCCCCATTCACATTTTGTTCTAGTAATACTGAGCTACTTGTAGTTCTAGTAATACTTACAAACCTAGGCTCTCCCATATACATTATCTTCTCTGCCTTGAATACTCTTTCACTCTACCCTTCACCCTCTGAAAACTTTTATTCCTTCCTTGAAGACTCAGTTCAAGTACCAGACCTGCCTCCTGAAACTGCCCATTTTTTATTCTTTAAAGTCTCCCTGGGTTCCTCAGCCTCTTTGAAAGTAGGAACCAAGGTTTTTTTTACCTTGGTTCATAGATCATTGCCTGCTACTAAGTGGTGTCTCATTGTTGAATGATTGAGTCAAATAATGGAATTACTGAATAACTGCATGTGTTTTATAAAAATTTAAAGAATCTCTAATGCTTTACTACTTTAGGTCATCTGATCTAGCAAAATAACATATACTGGGTGGCTTATAAACTTATTCTCATGGTTCTGGAGGCTGGGAAGTCCAAGAACAAGGCATTCAGCATATTCAGTGTCCGATGAAGGCCTGTTTCCTAGATTATAGATGACCGTCTTTTTCTGTGACCTTATATGGCAAAAGGGGTGAGAGAGCTCTCCAAGGTTTCTTTTATAAGGGTAATAATCCCACTCATTAGGGTTCTACCCTCCTGACCTAATCACCCCATAACCAAATACCAACACATTGGGGATTAGGTAGCAACAAATGAATTTTGAGGGAACAAAAATATTCAGTCGATAATACTTTCTAAATAAATCAGCTTGCATTATAAGAGGTTGTATGGAATAGCATTCCTTGAAGTTACATTAAAGGAAGAGCTGGCTGACAGATGTAACATTACTTTCTTTACATTGTAGATCCTCACTAAGGATTCCGTGACAGTTAGTGTGGATGGTGTGGTCTATTACCGTGTTCAGAATGCAATCCTGGCTGTGGCAAATATCACCAACGCTGACTCAGCAACTCGTCTGTTGGCACAGACTACCCTGAGAAACGTCCTGGGCACCAAAAACCTTTCTCAGATCCTCTCTGACAGAGAAGAAATTGCACACAACATGCAGGTGAGGAGTGCGCCAATGCTATATCTCAGGAGAAATAGAACATTAAAGCAAAAGCTCAATGGTTGAGAACTCACCAATTCAAGTTGGGGAACAACTAGCCTTTTTTCCTCGTAGAAAGGTTTTCCCAAAATTGACGGAAGGGAATATTTCTCACACAAACAGTTCATGGGTGATAACACCCAGATGCATGCATTTTTTCCCCTCCTTGTGTATTTCCCCCCAGATTTAGTATTTTTTAGCATAATAGTTCAGAAGCCATTTTGCATAGCATGAGTACAGTTAAAGCTATTTTCTCTGTGTGAGTCCCATGATTTCCCTGGCATGTCTTATGCTTTCCAATGTTGCATGAGTAATAGATGATGAATTAAACCTGACCTTTTCAAAAGCACTGTAAATCTGAACTCTTATTATTTGTTTAGATTTCATTGTGTGTAAAATCTATGATCTGATTTGATACCCACAACAATTATAGAAAATAGATAGTATCATTTCCTTTCTACCACTGTAAAGGGAGAAAGTCGAAGCACAAAATAACATGGCTTGCATAGAGTCACATTAGCTTGGGAGTAATACTGTGCTATTATAGTTTTAGTAATATTTACACTAGAAGTGATACTAGTTTTAAGAAGTAAAGTTTTGCCCTAACTGGTTTGGCTCAATGGATAGAGCATCAGCCTGCGGACTCAAGGGTCATAGGTTTGATTCCAGTCAAGGACATGTACCTTGGTTCCAGTCAAGGGCATGTACATACCTAGTAGGGAGTGTGCAGGAGGCAGCTGATTGATGTTTCTCTCTCATCGATATTTCTAACTTTCTATCCCTCTCCCTTCCTCTCTGTAAAAAATCAATAAAATATATATTTTTTAAAAAGAAGTACAGTTTTATTGGAATACAGCCACACCCATTGGTTTATATATTATCCATGGCTGCTTTTGACCGACAATTGTGGGTTCAATAGTTGTGGCAGACTGAGAATCAGTAATTGCTATCTAATCTTTTTAGAGAAAGTTTGCCTGCATTAGCTTATCAATAACAGAATCAGGATCAGTTCCTCAGTGAGCCAGCACCTTATCTGTTCCCAGTCCCAATGCTTACAGCAACCTTTGGCCTCTGGACTGGGGCTGAATGTTTTAGCTTGCCTTCTCTCTTCCCATCAGAATACCCTGGATGAAGCCACTGATGACTGGGGAATCAAGGTGGAACGAGTGGAAATTAAGGATGTGAAACTACCTGTGCAGCTCCAGAGAGCTATGGCTGCAGAGGCGGAAGCATCCCGGGAGGCCCGAGCCAAGGTGATTTATTTATTTATTTATTTATTTATTTATTTTATTTCTTTTTATTAGTTTGTTTTTCCTATTGAATTTTTTTTAATTACAGAAAGTAAAACAGGTTTGTTATAAAAATTAGAAATAATCCTGAATATTTCATAAAGATGAAAGCCCCCCCGTCACTTTAAATTGTATCTCTGCAGATGTGACCACACTTAACAATTTAGTGTATTCACTTCCAGGGTATTGTTTGGGTTTTATTTGACTAGGTTGTTAGACTACTGGCTTGTTTGTTTTACAGAAGTAGATCACACTATGCATATTGTTCTGCATCTTGCTCTTTTCTTTAACGTCACGTGGGCATCAGTACAAAGTTGCCAAATTATTTTATTGGCCATGTCCTGTCTCCCAAATGCCTATAAAGGACAGATTACAGGTCTGACTCCAGAGCAAATGGGCAACCTCATCAGTTTGCTTTCTGCTCGTTTCTTTCATCTTCTTTCATTCTCTCTTTTCTCTGTATCTGCTTTCCTCTTCCTATAATATTTCTACTTCCTATCTCATTTATTTTTCACTTTCCTTTCTTTGGTGTCTGCTCTTTCCCCTCTCTCTTTTTATCATCATCCCTGCCTATCTCTGAACCCTGCATGAATGCATGACCCTCTGAGAGGTGCTGAAGGCAATATTTGCTAACTTAAGCTAAAGAAAAGGCTCCACTGAGATGCTAATGCATAAGGACCCAGGGATAGCTCACCAAACCCAAGGTTAGGAAATAGAGTTGAGCCTCATCAACATTGGAGCCAGGGACCCCAAAGTAGTTAAGACTGAAAGAAGTGAGTCATTTCATTTCCTGAGCCATCTTACTGCAGATGGTTTGATGGGGAGACTGTCTGACTGCAGTTGAACAGTGACAGAGACAGACCAGCCCTGATTCCAGATTCAAGGCAGAGAGATTATTTGTCTTTGGTCCAACTTTGGTCAAAGGGTGAAGTCAGGTACTAATCAGGTCACAGAGCCTGGAGGAATAGGGACAGTTTTGGTAGGAGGCGTTACTGTGGACTTGACAGAGCTCCCAAGACATGGGAGCAAACCTATTTGTCATTGTTGTTGGAAAAAATAGCAGTAGCTGGTGATAACTGGCTAACCTCAGAATCCCGCCCTTCTCTTAGAATGCTCTTTAAGCCACAAGTGGGTCACTATCATTTCTTAGCCAACCCCAAATAGAACAGTAGCTCATTTGACACAATACATCCAGAATTTTCTACGAACCAGACATTTTGTTTTTCTAATGTGGTCAATGATACTTGTGATGCTAACCTGATGACACTACAGAACCCCCAAGTGCTTCCTTTCAAAATCATCACTAAGACTAAATTATATTTGTGATAATGTTAAATATGCTAGAATCTACTTATTTTGAAAATTGGGAATCATTTATATCTGGAATATGTCATTCACCAAAAGCCCCATTTTCAACGCATATTGAACAACAACATTTGTCATGCACAGACTACATAGAATATCAGCCAAAGGGCCCTTCGGGATGATCTTCTGAAGGTGACAAATACCTGGCCCAGAAGCTGCTGCTCTGCCATCCTATTCCCATGCCAGTAATTAACCACAGCACTGTTTTCCACTGAGCGTAGGCCTGACCTTCCACAGCACTCTAGGCAACAATCCTCAACTGCTTGGAATTGGCTCTAAGGATCTTCAGAACTTCGTAATTGAAGTTCTGCTGGGAATATTGGAAACTACCCTAATATCCATTGGTAGTTGCATGACAAAATGAATGAGCATACAAGTCTCCTGAAAATAATGAGAAAGGAGCCAGTCACAAAAGACAGACTCTCCCACCAGTTTTACAGTATGTTGGCTGAATCTCTTTAAAGTTTTAAGATAAACTCTTAATGACTTGAAATGTAATCTCTTTTATGCTGCATTCTTCCTTATTTCCTTTCTGACGAACCCTCAGAAAAGTGTTTGCCGTGCTTTCAAGCTCCTATTTCCTGGCCTGGTCTTCTGTTAATTGAGAGGGTGGAGTGCCAAAGTACAGATCACCTTTCTCTGCCCTTCCCCAAGCCCAGCCCACCTGGGCTGCCGAAGGAGGTGGCTGTACCAATCCCACACATTTGGAAATGCCAAATTTCAAAACGATGCTCTATAAGTATAAAGTGTTTATTGACATGGGATTATTGCACATTTGGCAAAAGCCCCACGTGTTTCTTGCTTCGCTTTCTAAGATCCTATCCACAGGGTATACTTGGCCTCTGTTTAGACAAAGCCAGTGGTATTGGATTCACATCTCTGGCAGCTCTCTCAGAGCAGCTTTTCTATTAACAAAACGTGTGTCCATCCTGGTGGGTCTGGCTTCCCTGCCAAGAGATTGTGTATTGATAGCTAGTGGGAGATGAGGTATCTTTGCAGTTGGTCTATGTCCAGACAAAAACAACAACAAAGTACCTAATTGGATATCTGAGATGACATGGAAAAAAATCAGAGCCCGCTGACCTCGTGGCAGGTGTATTGTACACTCCATGTGCTTGCCCTGGAGCACAGTTATAGGCTTCTCTCTGAGCACATCTGGCACGTGCCCCATCTCACAGATTTATGTAGGACATAATGGTTTGTCTTGATAGATTAAGCTCTTTATCCCCTAAACAGTCCTTTCTCTCAGTAAGTACCATATCCTGTATCCCCTCTCTCACTGAAAGGCACTATCCAGGTGGCCGAAGCCAACAAACCTGGGACTCAGCCTCTGTGCCCTCTTTCTCCCCAAACCCAGTCAGCCTCCAGAATCCTGCCTCCCTCCTGAGTAGTCCCCATCCAGCTCCTCCTCTGTCCCCAACACCAGTGAATTGCATCAACCACCCTGAAGCACTTCCACTAACAGCTTTCAGTCTCTTCCCATCGATCCTCACACATCTGTCGGTGTGTTCTCAAACCTGCATCTGATGAGGTTATCTACAGTGGCTTCCCACTGCCTGTAGAATGAAGACCAACGCCCTGGCCTCTAGACCCTGCCCGTTAACACCCCACTTTTCCCCTCTTCCTCATGCACTATTCAGCACTCAAGGGTTTTTTGGGAATACACCAGCTTTTGCAAACCTCATCTTAATCCAAACAACAATGCTTTCATTCTGTAATGCTGAACTTCTACCACTTCACCACCTCACCCTCTGCTCAAAGTGCTTTCCTGAGGGTGCAGCACTGTGCCTCATACAGATCTCTGTCAGCATTTGCCGCACTGCAGTGAAGTGACCTGTTTCCGTGGCTGTCTTCCCTACTTGTCCAGGAGCTGAGGGAGGCAAGGAAGTTCATGCTTTATCCCTAGCCCCTACATGGGGCTTGACACCTAGGAGGCCCTCGAAGTTTACCAGAGAAGTGAATGAAATTTCACTGCTCATAAGACCATGGCTTTCAGTTCTGCTATTCACGGGAGCATTACAAACCATTAATAATTTTAGATCCATAAGAACAACTTAGTGAAACTGTACTCTTAATATTGGTGATTATGGTATATGTATACCTCCTCTCCTAGGATTATGAATTAAAGCTAACTGCCTTGATTTGGCATATATATGTGCCAATATGATTGATTTTGAGAGAGAGAGGAAGGGAGGAGAGAAAAATTGATGTGAGAGCACAACAGTAATCAGCTGCCTCCTGCATGTCCTCTACCAGGGATCAAGCCTGCAACCTGAGCATGTACCCTTGACTGGGAATCAAACCAGGAACCTTTTGGTGCACAGGATGACAACCAACTGAGCCACACCTGCCAGGCTGATTTGGCTTTTGAATCTTTTATGAATTGAAGCAATTGGTAGATCCAAAAACCAAATCCTAACTTGTCACTTGCCATTCCTATAGAATAGCTTCTGTTCATATATCATATATCATATATCAACACTTAAAATACCTTCTCTGTCTTCCTCCTATAAAGTAGGTGCTATTCGATTTTAAAAATAAGAAACTGAGGCTCAGAATGTTAAATAATCTTTCTGAGGACATTCAGCTGGTAAGGGGTAGGTCTGGGATTTGAGTTCAAGTTCATCTAAGTCCAAAGGCCCTATTCTCCCCACCACTTCAGAATCTTAAACATTTTTTCCCCATGTAACCTTAAAAGAATTTAGGAAAATGGTATGTTTCATCACACATTTTAAATAGAATATAAAATTTCTCATTTTAAATTTATATACTGTCAAGTACGTAATTCCTGGCATGTTTTAAATATTGATATTTTAAAATAAACTGCTAACATCATTTAAAAAAATGTATCCAGCTAAATTTAAATGACATAATGACTTTATCATCTATTTAAAAATATGTGAATAAGCTCTTTTTTAACAGCCAAGAATTTTTCATGGTTCCTTTTTCTCCTTGAACTTATATTTCCATTTCACCGCTACCACAAATTCTTTTCCTAATATAATCTATTTTTTTCATGAATTATTTTATTACCCTACTGCAACACATTTTGTCTAGAAGTTAAAATTATTTTATTTCCTCTGATTATAAATAAGGCTATAAATGTTTCAGAATTTCTCCTAAATACATAAGTTTTTACTAGAAATACTTCTCTTAATGAGATGAATGAGAAATGAATTCATGTAGATGCCCATTATTAATGTTAGAATGAGATAAAACTCAGCATCAATTTTATTACTTTTCATTTTTATAGATATGAGAACCAAGAAAACTTGTTTAGATAAATAAATAGATGGAAGTAGAAGGTTTCATGTCATGCAATTCTTGGCATTGCCTCTGAATTTATGTGCTAAAAAAGAATAAAGTGCTCTTTCACACAAAAAAATATTTTTAATAATCTAGCCATCTTTCAGTTCAATAAGGTCTTCTTTCCTTTCTTTGAAATCACTCTGACTTGCAAATATATTTGTATTTAGTCATAAGAGTCATTCACTTTCTCAACCCATACACAATATTTTGAATTGTTTTTGTTTGGTACCTTGGAAAATGGGAGAAAGGCAACAGTAAAAAAGGATGTCTTGACCTCAGGCACATACTCAGTTATAGAAAAAAGAATATGGAAACTAATAACTGGAAGTGGATTTCCTTAAAACTATTCTGGCCTGCTCCCTGGAAAGTTTTACGATTTCTGCTTTGCACCTGCCGTCTTTTCCCATTTGACCCCTCCTTCTGCTGTTCCACAGGTTATTGCAGCCGAAGGAGAAATGAACGCATCCAGAGCTCTGAAAGAAGCCTCCATAGTCATCAGTGAATCTCCTGCAGCCCTTCAGCTCCGGTACCTTCAGACACTAACCACCATTGCTTCTGAGAAAAACTCCACGATCGTCTTCCCCCTGCCCATGGATTTGCTGCAAGGCATGATGAGGGGAACGTAGTGAGGCACAGAGGCCAACACAGAGATGAGCTCTTCCCTTCTGAGGATGACATGGGGGACCAAATTAACCTTTAACCCATAAGAGGAGGGGAGGGCGGGGACTTGACTATTCTCTCTTCCTTTCCTTTTCCATATATTGAGAGTTCTTAGAATGTACAGGGATCCTAGCAACAGGTAAAGATTGTTAGCTTATAAATACTGTGTGTGAGAGAGATTTATGTAAGATAATCTCTTACTCTTTAAATATTTAACTCCATATTTTTAGATCATTATGTACTAGGTTAACGCCCTCTTTTTTTGACTTTCATGGAATTATTCTACACCCTCTATCAGGAGACGGGCCAAAGGAAACTGCCACCTGACATCCTTGGCTGAACAAATGATTTCAAAAGATAGTGACCTTAAACTACAACCAGCTTCTCTGGGCCACATATGCCTTACTTCCGGGGAATCTTACTTAAGGCAATTGTGTAACATCTGTTTACTTTCTAAATCCAAACCATGTTTCAGAATAATCCTCACTTGAGACTAGGCATTCTCCTGCCAGTACCTGTCAGCTCTGGAGGAAGGTTAAGATCAATGAAAATGATTACTCTAATCTTTGAAAGACTTTTAAATCCACTATAATAGAGGTCCTTGGAAATAATGTGGCCCTTCAAATTAGCTAAATATCTGTCACGTAAGTGCTTTTTTCTCACTTTTGCCTATTTTCATATGTTAGATCCTAAATAGTTTTGATTTTTTAAAATAAAAATTTAAGTTCTACAAACAGTTATCTTTATAGCCAATTGAATACCTTAAAAACTAATACTTTTAAAAAAATCTTCAGAAAACCATTGTATTTTACTCACTGCCTGCTATTAACTGTTGCATTCTGGGAAATATCTCAGTTACCAATCTCATTCATTAAATGTATAAAGAATTCACAATATATTGGCAATCATATCCAATGAGCTTGGGAAAACACTGTCAAACTGAGGATATCTATATAGATGTCTATCTTTTTCATTTGCCTACTTGTTCTTTTTCTATTATGTATATTGATGCTGAAAAAGGAAGTGGTTAGCCTTTTGAACCGCAGTTGCTTCATCTGTGATATTAGACATACTGGCTACTTTAAAAAGAGACAAATAAATGATGTGAAATCAATCATTTTGGTGTTCCCTGCAACATTCAACCTTTAACTTCACAAGCACCTGTGACTGAGCAACCTTGCATTCTTCTTACTGGTCTAGAATTCTGGCTGGTGACATTTGTGTAACCTCCTCTTTGCGGCTGAGTTCACCTAGAGAAGTCTAAGACTAGCTGCTTCCTTACCCAGAGCTGCTCTTCATCTCTGTCCTTTATCCGGATCACTGTCAATCCGGACCCAGCTTTGTGAGGGTCCCCTTCCCTACACTCCATTTCAAAGTTTATTTTAGAAAACCTTGAACCACCGTGTATCCTAATTCCCAATTTAGTTTGTGAGATATATATGATTGAAATCAAGTGGCATTTGTAATTTGAAAACAATGATTTTATCTCCTTTGTGTGGTGGCTCACCCTTGACCAGCGAGGTCCAGAAAACAAAATCTCTTCCCAGGCTTGAGTAACAATGCTTTCTGTTCCTTGAGTTTCCCTGTCTCCAGATACCAAGCAGTCTCTGCTTTTCTGCCTTGTGGCTTCAAAGCCCCGAGTCTGGAATGAAATCGCCTGGGAGGGAGGAGGTCTAAGATGAGAGTGTGAGTGCAAGAGTGTGTTCCAAGCAGACTCCCCTCCCAGTGCTGTACATAATAAAGAGCCAGCTTGTCCCAACTGTCTGGGCACGAGCTGTTTCTTCCTGCATTTAGTGTGTGTGGTTTTCATTTTTCAGAAGTGGCACAGCAGATCCTCCCGTCTGGGGCTGCCTGTCTTGGCTTTATTACGTGCTCTTCCAGGGCCGGAAGAAGAGGAGAGGCTACTGTAGTCCATCGGCCATCTCTCCCTTGGTTGCACCTGCCCACACATTCTCCCTGGGAATTTGAGATCCAGGCATCCCCTGAATCCTTGGCTGCTTTCGTTTCCCTTTGCCTTAATCCAAACAGGATAGGACTCACTTCTTGCCATCCCCTAGCTAATCACACAGGCATACTGTCTACTTTAAAAAAGAGACAAATAAATTATGTGAAATCAATCATTTGGGTGTTACCTGCAACATTCAACCTTCGAAGAACTGTCTTGACTTACTGGCTTCCATTTGTGGAGCACCAGCTACCCAGCTCTGTGCTCAAATACTTGTACATACGTTCTATCATTTTATCCTCAAAACAGTTTGATGAAGATACTTTACTGTCCCCATTTTACAGATGAGGATACTGAGGCTCAAAGGTTAAAACTTAGCCAGTCACATGGTAAGGAGCAGAGGTGGGATCAAGCATGGAACTATCTAGTGCCAAAGACTCAGGATATCTGAATGTATCTCTATGGATCAGTGCCTGCCTCCACCACCCCCATATACACCAGACCAGCAGCAGTCATTTTATGTACAGAAAACACCTTCACAAGACTGACAGTTCATGTGATTAGTGAAACTGCACTTCAACCCAAACAGGCCTTAAATTTGAACTTTCATATTGGGCCATCGAGGTAGGCCAAAGTTCAGTCCAAGTGAGAGTAGGTTATAACACGACATGTTACAACACTAGCCTGAGCTGGAGGATACCCAGGTTCCATGGACCTTTAAGCTTATGTGGCCCATTAAATTACATTATTTCTGTGATCTTCACAACACTGGGTCTTCCCAAGGTTGCTCAGCTAGTAAATAGTGAATCAGTGGTTTTCAAACTTTTTGGTAGAAACTCCATCCTCTTTTTTTTTCCCCCAAAGAAAACTGTACACTGGTAAAAGATTTGAAGTGTCTTATCAGGATAAATCTTAAATTCACATTTATAACATTTACTTAATGTCAATCAATGAGCTGTTTTAAAAACAAAAATACAACAGGGGGTAAGGGTATGAATGGGGGGGGGGGTTGGGGGGGTAAAGGGGAGATAAGGACACATGTAATACCTTAATTAATAAATTTAAAAAAATAAAGTTACAAATGAAAATCCAAAAAAATAATAGTAATTGAAGTTATAAAAAGGAAATTACAGCCTTAAATCAGGCTCTACATTTCCTTAATTCCTCCATTTTGTTTCAAGAGCACTGTGCTATTTATTATCACTTTAAAAATGGAATTTGAATCAAATAATCATAAAACCACTGAAGCATCTCAGAGAATTCTACAGAGCCTAGTTTAAAACCATGGTTCTTCAGTGCTTTCCCACTACATCAGGAAACTTGTAAGGTGACCTCATTTGCCTCACCTGTTAAAATAAGAAATTGGACTCTTACCTGTTCGGGTCCTCAGATCTTTCGAGAATGTGTTGGAAGCTATAGAGCACAAATTTGCATACAACTTCAAAATTTCATACAAATTTGTGCTGACCCCATCACTCTGCCAGTAAGAAGATTTAAGAACCCCTGAACTGGTAATCTCTAATATCTTTTTAAATTGCAGCAGCTCTGGGCTCAGATCAGGTCGATCATTTCCCTCTTGCTGTCCCCTAATGGGAGATGTTAAAGAACCAGCTCTGGGAATCCCGGCTTCCAAATCAGGTTCATTGTGTTTATGGTACCTTTAAAAAGGATTCACATGTGCTAATAGGATAAAGCCCTTTTCAATCTACCCTAATGCCAAAAGAGTTCGTTAAGAAAGGAAATTGAAACTACTGAGAAAACTGAGATTTTAGGAAACTCGAGAAAGTTAGTCACCACATTGGAGGCTAGCTAGGAATCTTTCCTTAAAAATTTAGGGGGGTAAAGTGGGGAGAGAAACAGACTGGAAATTAAACCCTTTGAAAATTACTAGATGTCCCAGGACTGAAAGGAACCATTACTATTAGTAATTATTTTCAACATCTGGCCCCCAAAAAAGTCTCCAACAAAATAACTGTCAACCTATCATCTTCTTATCCCCTTTCTCCATCCTAGGCTTAACAACAACTCTGAATCAAAAAGATTTGTACACCAATGTTCACAACAGCATTATTCAAATAGCCAAAAGTGGAAAGAACCCATATGTCCAGCGATGGAGAAATAAAATGTGGTGTACCCTGCTGTTCGAAATGAGGGTGTTCCTATGAAACCTTTCATAAGCCAAAATGGCATCAAACAAAGAGTATCCTCCGCTTTACAAAAGTGCAAGTCGCACCACTTTGCTTTTGTGAAAGACCTACTTTAGTACCGGTTTAGCTAACCAAAGGAAATCCTAAGATTTTTTACATAAAAGCTGTTACTAGTTCTGGTCTTACGCACAAGGGAGGAGGCCTAACGGGATCTTTTGGAAGGAGGGGCCTACCCATATACATTCAATGGCATATTAGTCACAAAAAGGAATGGCATTTTTACATATGCTACAAAATGTTTGAATCAGCGAAATAAGCCAGACACACAAGACAAATACTGGATGATTACAGCTATATGAGGCACCTAGAATGGTAAATTCATAGAGGCATAAAGAATAAAGGTTAAATAGGCTAGGGGAACAGGGCAGGGAATGGGGGAATAAGAAATTACTGTTTAATGGACACAGATTTTAGGTTGGGGATTATGACAAACTACAGGCCCTATGCACAAATTTGTGCACATTGAAAGGAAATTAATTAGAAGATGGCCAGTGGGGTAGGACTGGGAGAGACAGATGGCCAGACTCGCCCTGGAGCCAACCTCCCTCAGTCCCTTCCTGGCTGGCTGCACCTGGGATGACACTGTGGCTCAAAAGGCATCTGTGGAGTGAGTGGGGTCCCTCCAGCAGGTTGGGTCCCTCAGCCCTGCCTGCAGGATCGGGCCAAAACTGTCTCTCCGACATGCCCTGAGAGGTCCTGCAAAGTTGCTGTTGTACAGGGTGTGGAACACAAATGCAAATGTCCAGTAAATCAGAATCCGGCCGACAGCGTCCCAGCAACAACATAACCCATGGTCAAAGGTAGAATTGTGTGG